AATTTTGGGTACTTTTATTATCTTTCTTTGACATACATACTGAAGATTATAGTTGTTGGAATTCACCAGACCTCTAGGTATTGATGGGAATTGAAATGATAGGAATTAAAATGGTTCTAATAAATGGAATTGATGGGAATTGAATTAATATTAATTGATATGGTTCTAATAAATGGATGCAGTGATAGAATAATAATTAATCTATGCCAAAAAATTTAGAAACAACTGCCTGGTCTGTCAAGTGGAAAAGATCCATATTTATGCACATTCAAAAGAAAGGTGATTCAAGAGAACATGATAAGTATCAATTAATATCATAGATAAGTTATATCTTACTGTAAGGACCACAGTGACAAGAGTCATTGATATGGCAGGGTTCAGAGCTGTCGTAATAGGATAGCTCTGAGTCACGGGCAATTCACTGGCACACAACAGCAATAAAAATATGAAGATGACGGATATCCAAGCTTCTCTTTTGGTATGTGATTTAGTCTCAGTTTCTCTGTATCATGTACCCAGAGGACCAGAGGATGGGTGGGTAACTGTTAAAATTTATCTCTATCTCTATGTCTCTCTCTCTCTCTCTCTCTCTCCATATCCATATCCATATCTATATCATCTATATATATATCATCTCTATATATATCATCCATATCTATATCATCTATATCTCTATCTATCTATCATCTATCTATATCTATCTCTCTATCTATATCTATATCTCTGAACTTTATTAGGGACAAGGCAAAACTCATAAGACAAGGGGAAGGTTTATCTCAGAAGATAAAGAAAAGTTTTAATGCAATTTTCTGCACAGGGAGTTATACTCTGTTACTCTAAAGATGGAATCATTGGAATCATGTTGGGTGGGACTATCTGGAAACTTTCCACCTAAAGCAAAGGACTATAGGGAGGAGATGAGGAAGACTAACAATGAAACTCTGATCTTCACTTTTCTATGTATTCCAATTCACCTATTGAAAAAGGCAGAAAGGATTCCCTTTTCTTAAACTGTGCATTCTCCAGGAACTGCACCAGATTGAATGTGTCAGAGGTGGCCCACT